GTTGTGTCAGCCGCTGTATCCACACGATCGAGACAACAGCACCGTCAACGCCGCGCAGCTGAGAGTCCCGGGTCCTCTAAACATGTCCGTGCTGCTTTTCTTCGCCTTGTTCGGTTTGACCGAACCGGATAAGATCCCCGACGTGGAGCGCTCGCCTCCCGCGACAGCCGTTTTGGCTAAGATGGTATTCGGCGTGTATCTGGTCGTGACGTTCATCGTGTTGGTCAACCTCCTCATCGCTATGATGAGCGACACGTACCAGCGGATCCAGGCTCAATCCGACACGGAGTGGAAGTTCGGCCGTGCCGTTCTGATCCGCGATATAAGCCGCAAATCTGGAGTACCGTCTCCGTTTAACCTGTTCACCAACCTCTTCTACTCCATCAAGGTCGTCTGCAAGCGCGCAGGTATGATTCGCTTTTCATTCGGGATCATTTGCATTAGTGCTGGCCGGTGTGAGGAAATAATTACATCACAGTATTTTTCCAAATTATACTGGATTTATTTATTTATTTATTTATTTATTTCAAGCAAGATAGTGTGACAACAAAAAAGATAGACAATAAAATAACTTTTAACACTTATGCTTGAAATGGAGTGGGAAGAAGTAAAACTTATTAAACCCCACCCCAGTCTATGACATATTTTACACAATAACACAAAAAAAAAAATAGCTGCTTCCTTCATCAACGATCTCAAAGAGAAAATAATAATAATAATAATAATAGTAATAAAAATAATACCTCATTTAGAAACAGTGAATGCACAAGTCAAAACCAAACACTCGTACCATACATATTAATAATTTACAGATATTTCCACAGGTAATGATTATCAAATACCAACAATGGTATACGAAATACCACAAGGGTACATAACAATAATTTTCAAATACCAACAAACTATTTGGGATGGATTCACAGGTTTTTTTGTTTTGTTTTTTTTGTGTTAACCACATTTTCTACTGATTGAGAGAGGTAATACTGCAGTAGATTGACTAAGAATGCCCCACGAGTGAAACATTTCACTAGTTTTACACATTTCTTGAATCATGGGTCGGGGGGGTTGGTTCCCAATCACTTGCACTATTCTGCCATACATTATAGTAATCCACTTTACACGATTAGAAAAGCACAATGTTTTATTTTGTGTCGAGTTACTCCTCTCGGGTAACTGTATTTAAAATAGGGAAAACGTGGAGGTGTTTGGTCGCTTCTCTACTTGGATCCTAATGAAGGAACTGGGCTAGTTAAAGGAGTAGTTCACTTTAAAAAAAAAAAAACTTTTGCTGATAATTAATTTACTCACCCCCATGTCATCCAAGATGTCCATGTCTTTTTTTCTTCAGTCGAAAAGAAATTAAGGTTTTTGATGAAAACATTCCAGGATTTTTCTCCATATAATGGACTTCAATGGGGACCAAACGGTTCAAAGTCCAAAAGACAGTTTCAGTGCAAACTACAAACTGTTCAAAGGGCTTTAAACGATTCCAGACGATGAATAAGGGTCTTATCAAGCGAAACGATCGCTCATTTCAAAAATAAATAACAAAGTTTAAGTTTTATAAGCACAAATGCTCACCTTGCTCTGTTCTGTGACTTTCCTGTTCGATTATCAAAATTAATTTATCTTTTTTTCGTGTCATTTGGTTCATTCAACGAACTAAATGAACGAGTTGACTCTCAAAAAGATTCGTTCATTTTGATGAACGAGTTTAAACAGGAGAGTCACGAACGCGCATCACAGAACAGAGCAAGGCGAGAATTTGAGCTTATAAAACTTAAACTTTGTTATTTATTTTTTAAATGAGCGATCGTTTCGCTTGATAAGACCCTTATTCATCGTCTGGAATCGTTTAAAGCCCTTTGAACAGTTTGTAGTTTGCACTGAAACTGTCTTTTGGACCTTGAACCGTTTGGACCCCATTGAAGTCCATTATATGGAGAAAAATCCTGGAATGTTTTCATCAAAAACCTTAATTTCTTTTCGACTGAAGAAAGAAAGACATGAACATCTTGGATGACATGGGGGTGAGTAAATTATCAGCAAAAGCTTTTTTTAAATGAACTACTCCTTTAAGTGCTAACAAAGTGTCTCGGGCGCCGGGGGATTGAGTGTGCACACTGAGACGAGAGAGGTAGTTAAGGGAATGACATAGTTTAATATGAACAAAAAACGGTCCAATGATCCCATCCATTTTCACCATCACGCTTAGTAACACACACAGCTGTTCCTCCTCACCACAGTTGTTTTTCCGAACGTGACAAAAACAAACACTGGCATTCGGTGTGAACCGGTAAACCGCCCAGCATTAATTTTTCATGTTTGTTTCTGCCATTGAATTTAAAAAGAAAGGTAGACTTAGTTGTCCATGTTCAGGGAAGATCTGCTGTGCGGAGGCTCGTGATGTGATGAACGAGGATGAAGATGCTGAAGGTGCGTCTGAGTCCCGTTCTCTCGATCGACAGGCTCAAGCGTCTGTCAGCTGGGTCCGAGGAAACAAGAGGACGCAGATCCTCCCCGAGGGCAAGTGCATCTCTTTCACCAGGCCAAATTCACTTCATGTGGTCATTATTAAACTAACCGTCCCCTAGATGATATTATTCATTAAGAAATGGTTACATTGGACATTTAAAACGCTTCTTTAGGTGTCGGTCTGACGTGTGCTGTTACTGTGCAGGTGGTCAGATCCCGGCGTCCCGCGGTGGAGGTCAGGTGCGCGTGGAGAACGTTGTTGATTGGCCGTCGGTGGTCCAGCAGTTTCTGTCCCAGCGCAGACAGAGAGAGAGAGATGAGTGACCGACAGCTTCACCGTGACGGATGAGTTTGCACACATCGTACCACAGCCTGTGCCTTTGATCTGATGTTCACTCCTAGCTAGATGTCAGTTACACTACTGACCGAAAGTTTGGGGACTTTTAATGTTTCTGAAAGAAGTCACCAAGGCTGCATTTATTTTAAAGGGATAGTTCACTTTGAAATACATTTTCGGTATGTTTTAGCTTACCTCAAGGGCATCCAAAATGTAGATGTCTTTGTTTTTGATATTTTTAGGTCAAACCGTGTCTGTCAGTCATATAATGGAGGTCTATGGTCACCACCTCAAAGAGCATGCACTGAGAAGTCCAGATTAAACATGATTTAATGACTCGTAAATGTAAGTACACATTGATGGCCTAAGACACTAAACGAGCGGTTTGTGTGAGAAATTAAACAGTATTTATATCATTTTACCTCTTGTAACCACAGCCACGTCCAAGTGATCTGAGAGCGCGGGTGCTTTGTGGTAACAAAAGGTAAAAACGACATAAATACTGTTCGTTTTCTCACACAAACCGCTCGTTTCGTGTCTTAGGCCATCTATGTGTACTTACATTTACGAGTCATTAAATCATGTTTAATTTGGACTTCTCTGTGCATGCTCTTTGAGGTGGTGACCATAGACCTCCATTATATGACTGATATACAAGAACGGTTTGACCTAAAAATATCAAAATTGAAAATACGGTGGAAACAAAGACCTACATCTTGGATGCCCTTGAGGTAAGATAAAACACATCGACTATCCCTTTAACACAAATACAGTAAAAACTGTGAAATATTATTTGTTTAAAATGCTTTTCTCTATGTGAATATATAGTAAAGCTGAATCTTCAGCATCATTGCTCTAGTCTTCAGTGTCACATGATCCTTCAGAAATCACTCTAATATGAGGATCTGATGCTCAAGACACATTTATGATTATTATCAATGTTGAAAACAGCTCATAATTTTGCGGACACCGTCATACATTTTATTTTACAGGATTCTTTGAATAGAAAGTTCAAAAGATCAGCATTTATTTGACCATAACATTTTTAAATGTCTTTACTGTCAATTTTGATCAATTTAACACATCCTCGCTGGATAAAACTACAAAAAAAGAAGTATTGACTGCAAACTTTTGACCCGTTGATGTTCATGATTAGAGTTGGTTGTGATGTGCGTTCCTACTTGATGTCTCTGTCTTCTAATCATTAATGTGTTTTATTGGAAAGATGATGTTGCAATGCTCGCATTTGTTCAGAAAGCTGTTCACTCGTCCGTAAAAAACAAACCGAAAAGTACGAGAATGAAGACGGAAAGGAAAATCACTAAAGTATTAACTTACATTTTGTGTTTGTTAGTTTCATTATTAGTGCCAGAGAAATATCAGTGTTAATGGACAAAATATCTTTATTTTTTGTGTTTTTTTAATACTTTTTTATTATACAATTTCATTACTATACATGTAAATAATGCTAAATGCTACACTACATATAGCTGTGTTACCACACGGTGTCAGCTGCACTTTTATAAAAATGAAACAAGTATTTTCAGGGTTTTCAGTATTACCGTAATTTTAATTTCATGTCGACAAGTATAAAAATATGCTATTTTCTCAATTTTTTTCATCATTGACATCATTGCAAAATGCTGAAGAACAAAAAAGATGCGCCTGATGCGATTTTGTTTGCCTGAACGTTCATCAGCTTCAGATTCTCCTAGTAAGTCTGACATGATGTAAACTCAGCAGAAGTCATGCCGTTTTTATTTTAAGTAGCACTACTATGTTGTCACAAACATCCTTAAATCGTGTGTTTTAGTTCTGAACTTTGACTGTTCCTGAAAACAGAAATAAACAATAATGTAGACCAACATCTGAACAGTGTAAAGTCTTCTGAATGATCAAAACTTCACCGATCGCACACAATCTCCTCCAGTCCTTCTGTCTCTGAATGATAGTTCAGACTCTTTTATCCAGTAATAGTCTTGTAATATAAGTGTACAAACGTCCTTCTGCGTCAAATCTGCCCTGATTTTATCAAGGAAACGCAAGAATAACTTTAATATTGTTAGTAATATTGAAACAGGACTGAAGCGGGTTTATCATACATCATTTATTATGAAAGTCTTGAGTATCAAATATGATTGAGGAAGGTTTATTTGTATTGCATTGCGTGATGTTTTAAAACTACAGAGCTTTGATCATAAAAACTGAGCATTTAAATATTTTTTTATATTTGTATCATGCTGTACTGTTATAAAGATCTCATTAATTCACATTACGGGCATCATAATTACCATAGACATTTCAGCATCTGCATCAAATTGCATATTTTTCTGTGTTTGAGCTGTTTTGTCCTTCATATTCTCTCTATATATGAGCCCTAAAAGCCTGATCTATCAAATATGTAATTATTTTCTCTTAAGGTTCAATTTAAACTTCCCTGATTTTTCTAACTATTATTTTATATGTTCATATTGTCAGGCTGATTATTTTATTATAGTGAATTATGACATGTTTGACGTGAGACTCTGTCTTCTTCCTCTCCGAGATGAAATGAAACAGGCTCCTCGTCAGATATATGATGATTTCCACTCTCTCAGGAAGTGTGTGTCGCGAACTCCTGCTTTAAACTGGAGATTGATGTGTCATATGCTTATAACAGCTCATACGTTCACATGTCCGAAGTCTCTGTCAGGCTTCGCTTCGGACAGAATGATGAGAGGAAGAGTAAACATTTATAACGAGGGCCAGTTTTTCACTTTTATGGACGTTCATTTTTGTCCGTGTTTATGCCGGGACAGTAACTCATCAGAAAAGCGCAAGATTGTGTTTTTCAGAAAATCAGAGGATTTGTTTTCTAGAAACGTCCTGAAATGAACTGCGTTTGAGTAAAATAACAGCCGATTCACTCTCTCATGTGATGGATTCGCTTGCATTAAATCAGGCATTCAGACCAAACACTAGACATTCATGTTTCCTGTTTTGAGCTTCTCATGCTCGTTTTACATCCATAAAAGCTCTTTAATTTACTCTATTCATCATGCTGTTTCAAAAGCACAAGAATCCAAAAACATAACTAATCCTTCATAACTTCAGGCTTCATGTCCTCGGTCGGCTGAATTTCCTCTTACTTTTTACCTTACACTCATGTACATGAAGCATTTGAGCATACTAAGTGACTAAGTAAAATGATGACTCTAAATCGAGACGTCAAAATTAGTATTATGTCATAATTATCACATACTAAGTCATAATTATGAGGAAAAAGTGGAAATTATGAAAAACTAAATTATAATTATTAGAAGAAAATGTGAAATTATGACACTAAATTACGATTATAAGACAAATGTATGACTTTTTCTGTCATAATTGTGACTTTTTAATTCATAATTTAGATTTAGTTTGTCAGTTTCAATTTTTTATTTCATAATTGAGCATTTGCAGCGCTTAAGAAAAAGGCTTTTGTTAAATCGAATTCCGACACTAAATTATGATATAAAGGCAGAATTGACGTACTAAGCCAAAATTATGACACTAAATTGAGTCAAAATAATTATGAGATTATGAGATTAAACTCAAAAATATGACTTTCTTTGTCATTTAAAGTCATAATTTAGATTTAGTACATCATAATTTAGAATTTTTCTTGAAATAAAAGGTAGAAATAAGAAATAGTCTAAATGATAAGTGATTTTGTTAATCATAATTACGACATAAAAAGTTGAAATTGTCATTAAGTTATGACAATAAACATTCAAAATTATGACGTACTTGAAATTAACATAAAAAGTCATAATAATGACACAGAAAGGCATAATTTTGACTTGCTTAAAGTCATAATTCAGATTTAGTACGTCATAATTTTAAATTTTTCCTGATAATTATGAAATAAAAGGTAGAAATAAGAAATAGTCTAAATAAGTGATTTTGTTAATCATAATTACGACATAAAATGTTGAAATTGTCATTAAGTTATGACAATAAATAGTCAAAATTATGACGTACTTGAAATTAACATAAAAAGTCATAATAATGACACGGAAAGGCATAATTTCGACTTGCTTAAAGTCATAATTCAGGTTTAGTACGTCATAATTTTGAATTTTTCCTGATAATTATGAAATAAAAGGTAGAAATAAGAAATAGTCTAAATAAGTGATTTTGTTAATCATAATTACGACATAAATAGTTGAAATTGTCATTAAGTTATGACAATTAATAGTCAAAATTATGACCTACTTGAAATTAACATAAAAAGTCATAATAATGACATGGAAAGTCATAATTTCGACTTCCTTTAAGTCATAATTTATGATTTTAGTATGTCATAATTTCAACTTTTCCCCTTATATTTAGACTTGATATGTCATAATTATGACTTTTCTATTAATACAGATATGAATTCACCTTATTTTGAATATTTTTTAAATGTTCAAGATTTGGATAGATAAATAACTATAACAATAGCAAAGTGCAACAAACGGTAAATTTGCGCCAGAAATGAGTGTGTTAATGATTTTGATGATAAACTAAAATATATGACAGTCTGTAATATCATGCAGAATAACGTTTTTGTGTTCTGTAAGCGTTACTGTTTTTGTACAGCTAAAATACCGCCTCTTTTTAACATGTTTCTTTAGAAATGTTGAAATAGCTTGATTTTACCATGATTGTGTGGTTTGTGATGCTGGACTTTAGTGTGGCCAGATCTCGCCAGGTCGAGCAGCCGTTATACATGATGAACGCACCTCGACTGTCATACACACAGAACTGGTCTGAGTGCAGCTTTATTAGTTGTTGAAGGTCAGAAGTGATTTAATGTCTCTGGGTTTTCTCAAGGTGACGGATGTTTAGACCGTGACTCTGCTCAGTTATAGACTCAAGACATCTAGTACAAAACACATTAGCATTCAGTGTGTTTCCTCTCAAACGATCGGCACGCTAATTGGCTTTAATCTGCTGTTCAGCAGTTGTGAAATCCGTGATGAAAGCTTCAGCGGTGCCTCTACATGATTATACACGGCCTTCTAGACTTAGTTCATTCAAACCCGAGAAGATTTGCTAAAAAAAACCCTTATAATTTGATGATTTAATGTTGAAGCAGGTTCACACTGGGTGAATCTCAGTCTGGGTCAAATTATATGATATATTTATTATATATATGTATATAAAAAAAAATAGGAGCACAATTAAGTTTCTTTGAATTGTGACTGAAAAAGTGCAAAAAAAAGATTAAATATTAAAGTAATTATACAAAAGATTTTGTTTGACTGAATTTAATTTATGCTTATGCTAAATGTTTTTTTATATGTATATGTCCGGACAAGACAATTATTTCACAGTACAAAAAAATCATAATAATATCAAAAATGTATCAGAGCAGCAACAAAAAAAGTCAGAAAATGATAAATGATGATAATGAGACGGTTCTAGATATAAAAGAAAAGACAAAAAACAATAACGGCACAGAGGAATCATTTTCTGATGAAGGATAAAAACATTGAGCCAATCACAATCCATCCTGCCTTAAAGAGTGCGAGCATTTAAAGTGACGGAAGACCTAACTGCAGCATGCGATTAGCATAAACCGAACGATATCGTGCGCTAGGATGCTAATGTAGTTATCATTATAGGCTGTAGTTAACGTTTTTGGTGTGAACAGTCCCTCTTTAAACAGCTCAATCTCCCATCATCCCGTGAGGCACATATATAAAGAATCCGCTGGCATAATACTATGGAAGGCCAACAGGGGCAAAATATATCACGTTTTTGGCATCATCGGCCTTCCATAAAATCCTGTTTTTTTTTTAAAGATCAGGGTAAATCACGTGTCCAGATGCGGATACACTGACTTGGCTGAGTACGATACTCACGCTTAAAGAGTTGATGGAGAATGATAAGCAGTTTTAGTTGAACAGTTTCCAAGTGCACAAGTGTTTGTTGTTGTTTTTTCTGTAAAAATGAATCCGACTTTTCCTATCTGTAGTTCATATTTTGTGGCTATCTCATCCTTGTTGCTGTTATGTCATTTCCCTTTGATCTGCATGTTCTTTGTATGAGATCTGTGTCTTTTCAGGCTTTTGTTTCGGAGTGTTTATGCAAAGAAATAACAAAGTATGATCTCAGAATACAGCAGGATTTACTGTAACGTGGATGTGTGTTATGGTTTCAGTCTTGACACTCGCTCTGGTGACGGATGAGGTGCAGGACTTCACTAATGCAGTGTTTCTTCTCGTGTTGCTCTCATGAGCTCCAGCTGGTGTGCCGGTGTGTGTCTTCATGTCTCACAGGTGGTCCACCATCACTCACTGTGTGTTTTCACTGGAGGAACCTCTTTAAAAGACTTTCGCAGGCATGCTTCATCAATGTATCATTTTCAAAATAATTATGCAACAATGTAAATATATTATTATTATTTATTTTAAGATATATAGTCATGAAAATAATGTCAATGCTAACATAACATTTAAATGCTATGCATATTTATGCTAAATGTAATATTTAAATCTATAAATATATATAATATTTCTAATAATATTTCTATATATATATACATGCATGCTGTGTATATTTGAAAATTTGGATATTTAGATCTCTATAAATATATACAGTATTTATATATATTTTTATTTTCTTCCAAATCAATTTCTCATGTAAACAATTTTGTTAATTGCCATGAAAATAATAATGCCACAATGTAAATATATAATTTTTATTGTTTATTTTATAATATTATTTATATTATAATAATACATAAAACATTTCTTATATATATATAAAATTAGGAAATATTGTCAAAATGCAAATATAAAGATTTCTTAAAGTATGTAGGAAAATTTAAAGACTTTCGCAGGCATGCTTCATCAATTTATCATTTTCAAAATAATTATGCAATAATGTAAATATATCATTATTATTTATTTTAAGATATATAGTCATGAAAATAATGTCAATGCAAACGTAACATTTAAATGCTATGCATCTTTATGCTAAATGTAATTTTTAAATCTTTAAATATATATAATATTTCTAATAATGTATATATACATGCATGCTGTGTATATTTTCATCTAAATCAATTTCTCATGTAAACATTTTTGTTAATTGTCATGAAAATAATAATGCCACAATGTAAATATATTATTTTTTATTGTTTATTTTATATTATTTATATTATAATAATACATAAAACATTTCTTATATATATATATAAAATTAGCAAATATTGTCAAAATGCAAATATAGAGATTTCTTAATGTATGTCGGAAAATTGTATTTTCATGAAAAGTTAAATATTTAAATCTCTGTGTATACATGTGTGTTGGGTGTGTATACACAGAATATACATTTTTGTTTTTTAATTATCATGAAATATGACAAAACATTTATATATAAATAACTCTTTCTTCATGCAAAATGTATAATCTGTCTAAAAGGTATCTATATAATATTTCAAATAACATTTTCCAGTTTATTTCAATTTTTTTCTCTGAAAACCTGTAGCTTTAAAAGTCATTTTCTAAATAGAGAAGATTTGCTTTATCCATGCATTCCTGCACAAAATGCACTCAGAAGGAAGGGGAATCATTCAGAGCTGATTTGATCTAAATATGGACTATGGATGTGAGTTTTGCCATGGCTGATGTCCAGAAGAGTGAAAGTGACTCCTGAGGGCTGGTGCCCAGAGTTTAGAGAGATTGTTGAGAAGATGAGAAAGAGAGCGAGGGAAGGGGAGTGTGATGGACAGACCGAGACCCTCTTCACTTCATGAAAGACTCACTTCTGGAAAGAGAGCGTTCACTTATCCTTAAGAGGCCGTTTAGACTGCAGGACATCATCAAAAATGGACACTGCTGAACTCAGATATGCATATTTATCATTCGTCTGCATTACTAGTAATGGAAATTGTTGAGATTTCAGTGGAGCTTTATTTGATTTAAGAAATACAGAAAGGAACCGACATCCAACTGGACCAGAAAGAGCATCATCCAAACCAACCGGTGAGAATCTCCTGTTTATTTGCCTATGTATTGCCATGTTGTGTTTGAGATGTATTTATAGTATTTGAACCTCATTTTCCATGAGAAACGACAGTGAGATCCCCCTGCTGACTGAACCGTGGGGAAATGACACAATGTAACATGATGTTCCACAAGACAGATTCTAAATGGAACTTGAACTCCTAATATGGAACGTTCATGTAAAGATCAGACGGAGTTAAACAGCTGATGAAAGAGAATCTGAGATTCTTCTACATATTTCATGAAAACTCTGAGTCTCGGAGCGGAGAGACGTCAGAGAACACGAGCACACACTCTCTCACAGAAGAATGTTCCATTTTTAGAAAGCCATGGAAAGCTATTTTTTTCCAAGCTATATATATATACACACACACATCACAACTAAACTTAATTTTCATTTTAATAAAAAATGTAAAGACATTGACCAGGCCATTTTTAATGAAACCCTACTTAGAATGTGAAATACGTAACTAAAATTCAGGAGTTTGGTATTGGTAAAAACTTTTTATGTTTTTGAAAGATGTTTATATATATATATATTAAAGGATTAGTTCATTTAAAAAAAAAAAACATTTGCTGATAATTTACTCACCCCCATGTCATCCAAGATTTCTTTCTTTCTTCAGTCGAAAAGAAATTAAGGTTTTTGATGAAAACATTCCAGGATTTTTCTCCATATAATGGACTTCAATGGGGTCCAAACGGTTCAAGGTCCAAAAGACAGTTTCAGTGCAAACTACAAACTGTTCAAAGGGCTTTAAACGATTCCAGACGATGAATAAGGGTCTTATCTAGCGAAACGATCGCTCATTTCAAAAATAAATACAAAAGTTTAAGTTTTATAAGCTCAAATGCTCGCCTTACTCTGTTCTGTGATTTGCGTTCGTGACTCTCCTGTTCGAACTCGTTTATCAAATGAACAAATCTTTTTCCAAGTCAATTCGTTCGTTTCGTTCATTGAATGAACCAATTTACTCGGATTGATAAGACCCTAGATAAGACCCTTATTCATCATCTGGTGTCGTTTAAAGCCCTTTGAACAGTTTGCACTAAAACTGTCTTTTGGACCTTGAACTGTTTGGTTCCCATTGAAGTCCATTATGTGGAGAAAATCCTGGAATGTTTTCATCAAAAACCTTAATTTCTTTTCGACTGAAGAAAGAAAGACGTGGACATCTTGGATGACATGGTGGTGAGTAAATTATCAGCAATTTTTTTTTAAAGTGAACTACTCCTTTAAATAGTATGTCATCATAATATAACTATAATTTATAAATTGTTTGATTTAAATTTTTCTGTGTTCTAGCCATGGAGATCTTTGAAGGACATTCTAACATCACATCTGAGTCTCCCGTCAATACCAGCGTGCACCTCCAGGGGGCGCCGTACCTGAAGAAACATGCCCACCTGCACGAGTCTCTGTACCAGGAGTTCTACGTCCTGTGGGTGACGCTGATGGTGGTGAACACGCTCATGTTTGTGGTCGGCGTGGTCCTGAACAGCCTGGCGCTGTACGTGTTCTGCCAGCGCAGCCGCTCTCGGACGACCCCGGCCATTTACACCATAAACCTGGCGGTGGCCGACCTGCTGGTGGCGCTGTCGCTCCCGGCCCGCATCGCGCTTTACCACAGCGGCGGCGACTGTGTGGCGTGTTTCTACATGCACACCTTCAGCTACTTCGTGAACATGTACTGCAGTATTTTGTTTCTCACTAGCATCTGCGTGGATCGCTACATGGCGGTGGTGCGTTCGGCGGGAAGCCGTAGGCGGAGCCCAGCGGCTGCGAAATGCGTTAGCGTTTGCGTTTGGCTGTTCGCCGTCGTGGTCACGTACTCGCTGCAAACCTCAGCTCTGGATTTTAACGGAGCTTCATGTTGTCACGTCGCCGTTCTCTTCGCCCTCACCGTGCTGGAGTTCGTCTTGCCGCTACTTGTAATCGCGACGTTTACGATCCGCGTTGCCTGCGCGCTAGCAGACAGCAGGCTAATGCCGCAGAGCTGGGGTCGACGCGCGCGCGCCGTCAGGCTGCTAGTAGCCGTATTAGTGGTGTTCACCGTGTGCTTCACGCCGTATCATGTGCGCGAGGCCGTGGTGTACTTCCAGCTAGGGGGCAGCAGAGAGCAACACGTCGTTGCGTATCATGTGACCATCACGCTAAGCAGTCTGAACAGCTGCCTGGATCCTGTGGTTTACTGCTTCGTGCCGGATAGTTTCCGCTCCACCCTGCGAAGGGAGCAGAAGAAGAGATTCGGAGAGCATCCGGTGGCAATCAAGGGAAACAGGAGCACTAAAGCTGCGGGAACACCGATGGCCATCGCATACAGCGTTGCAACGCTCACGCTCACACCCTGCATAGTGACGTCCACAGACATTCCCACCTGACTTTAAACACTCCCACAGGGACCTGAAATATCATCCAAATTAGAGCTATTTTGTAACAGCCGAATTAGAAACATCAAATTTTTCCTTTCTGTTGTCACTGTATGTCAACTATAACACCATTTCAGGAAGAGAAATAGAAACCTCTGAGCACTAAAATGTTCCTCTGAGCATATTCTTCTCGCTCCTCGGGAGTATAATATCATCAGACAGATATTCATATTGATTGGCGGGTGAGGGAAGTGATGTGTCCCGCGTCTGATGGCAGTTTTACGGGGTTATGATGAACTGTTTATTTTGCTCCACATCTTGATTTAATGGAGATGTTGGCTCATGTGTTTATGTGTGAAGAGTGAAGACCACACCGACACCAGAAACCACTTCTACAGATAAACATCTTTACGACTGAACATAAACTGCCTTTTATGATCTGTTTAAAGTAGGCCTACTTGTGGATATCTGTCCAAACAAATCGGTCCAATGTCTGTCAGTACAGTAATAGCGTATTCTCCTATTAAAAAAAACAACATTCAGGTTTTTTTTTTTTTTTACAGGAGAATATACAACACATATATTCTAATGTTAAAAAAGAAACATTTTCACGCACATATTATGTGGTGAATTTTATTTAAAAGGTTTTATTTAATTTAAAAAATGAGGATATTTTATAGATTGAATGATTATTTGTCTCCAGTACTAAACATATGTTTGACTGTAACACACTAAAATGTACCACAAGAGGGCATCATGTCCTTCGGAATTATTTGTGGATAAAGGAACCGAAACTTGTTTCTGCCACGGAATAAATCTATTTAAAAGATTATTGCGATTTTTTTAATCACACAATTCTGACTTTGTCCCCCTCACAATTGCGAATTTATATATTTTTTATTTTCTGGCGGAAACAAGCTTTCGTTAAAAGGAAAATGAGGTAGGTTTGTAATTGTAAAAAAAAAATAATAATGTATAAATATCACTAATAAACATACTAGTTATCTGTCACCCTTTTAATAATATTTGCAACGTGTTGTTTTTTAACTTTTATTTATATATTTTTGAAGTTACATCATGTTATATATCAGTTCTACCACAGTGTTTTTAGGCTCCTCGACACCTGTGCTGATGAGAGTATTGAGCATTAAAGCAGTCAGATGTGTTTTATGAGTCGCTCGGGAGAGTATTTCTTCACACCGCTGATATTTCTGCTCAGTTACCTTCACACTCTTCAGACTGACATTAGCCGAGACGGTTCAGTGTGAAGATGTCAGAAACACCGCTCACATCATCAGGCCTGGAACTGGAAGAACATTCCCGCCATATCAGAGACAAATCATGGTAGGCCTAAATCAGAATTATGACACAAATAGTCAAACTAATGACATAGCCCTACGTCATATTTATCATGAAAAGTCAAATTTCTGACATAAGTCAAGTAGGATATAAAAAGTAGGGTGAACGCTGGTAAAGTAGGACACTTTCTGATAATTTTTTTATTATGATCCAAATGTCTTAGCCCCTCATATGATACTATTCTAAATAGCTTAAGAGCTCTAGGATAAAAAAAGAAAGAAATATTAAAGAGTTATTTCACCCAAAAGCTCACTAATTGGCCAGCATCACACTCATGACCAGCGTCAGCCAATAGTGAGCCTGCGTTCTGACGTAGCGCTGCGCTGTTACACTACGTGAAATCTCGAGGCCCACAGAGAATGAAAGGAATAGTTGAATAAAGTCGTTATTTTTGTTTGTATTCCGCACAAAAAGTTTTCTCATTGGTTAATAAACTTAAGATTGAGCCTCACTTGGACTATTTTAACGATGTCTTAAACGTTTCTGGACCGGCAAGTTTCGATCCCTCAGATCCAGCTCTCAGATTTAATCACAAATATCTTCATTTTGTGATCTGAAGATGAACGAAAGTCTTACGAGGTTGAACAATATGAGGGAGAGTAATTAGTGAGGACACTAAATTATTCAAATGTAGGCCCAATTAAAGTAAATACACAATAACAATATAAACAACAAAAATAAGGTGTAAACTGCACCTTTCATAATTTGTACCTATTTATATTCACAATCTTACGTGCTTAGGCATAATTATGAGATTAAAAGTGTTTAGAAATCATGACTTTAAAATGAGCAGTCGAAATTGACATACAGTCTAAATTATGACTTGTGATAATGACTGGTTATAATTACGACATAAAAAATGCTGTTTGCAGCAATTCTGTCTGTTTGCAGCAATTATGCAGATGGTCATAATTTCCATAATATCTTATTTGCCAGTAAAGAAATCCTTGGTGCAAATACAACCTCTCTTTCATCAATCACAGTTTATAAACAGCCGTGTTCAAAACTAATTGCGACCGAGTGCAAAAGCTAATTTATTCCAACAAGCATCAGTCAAAGTGAGAGGATATGCTGGCATGAAAAAATGTGAAGTTGCCAGAAAATGATACAGTAGGCCTATTTATTGCTCCAAATGTTGTTCAAATTGATTGCTGCTGTACTTTCATTAATTTTTTTTAATTAAAACACGAGTTGTACTCATCTTTCCGTCTCTATTATGATGTATATCTGAGTGAAGAACGAATGTGGGCGGGGCTTGATTGTCTGTGTGGAATTGATTGGACGGTTCTGGTTCGCTATTGGTGGATCTCATGACAGGTTGCCCCGCCTACATCATCAGAGAAGAGTAGAGATGCTGCAAGAAGAAATTATTCTGATTCGAGATATGAATATAATTATGTGCATTGAAATCATTTATAACAAATACTGTAATATTCCATACAAAAGAAAAAGAAAAAAATGGTCTATTTTGAATTCATGTTGACTTTATTGAAGATTGCCTGTGTTTGTTTTTCAGACTGAGGTTTGATGTAACGACATTATCAGATGTTCAGAGGACTGGAGAGGACGGGATTTCGAGACGGAGGTAAAGAGACCACAAGACATCTAAAATATTCCCGCCGTCCCCTCTGAGTCTCTGATACAGGATCAGTATAAAGGTATTTTTGGTGCAAATCAAACTGAACACCTGTGGCAGTGAAATTTGTAAAAAAAAAAAAATAATAAAAAAAAAAAAAATACATATATTATGAACTGTAGGAAATGATACACAATTGTAGTTTAAGTTCGCGGTGAAACTATATTTATCTTTTTTGAAATAATCCATTAAACCTGCCGAGAAACGAGGAGCGTGAACTAAAACGAGCAGTTCCACGCGCATGCCCGGGGAGCTCATGAATATTAATGTTGGCTCCGCCCGCTGCCTCTACAGAATGCACAGTGTTGCCAGACGTACGATCATTATTGTATTATTTGTACGATAGTTTTGACCTCTGTACGATCAATAATGAAAAAATCCCATAATGTACGATAATTTCAGATTTTTGTGACACTTCAATTTATTGTAGGCTAATCATAGTGCTTCTATAGGCTACTCATTGATCTAGCTGTGGATCGTCATGACTTTAAGCAGGTTTGCATTAATTAAATTGAGAGCAAAATTATAAATATTTTCTTGCGCACACCTGAATAAACCTCTGGGTTTAGGAAGAGCTGATCTGATATACACTAGTGTTTAAAAGTTTGGAATAATTACGTTTTTTAAATGTTTTTGAAAGAAGTCCACGAAAATATGACGTGCACTAATGTTGTGAGACTTCTTAAAAAAAATTAAAAAAAAAAAAAAAAATATATATATATATATATATATATATATATATAATATACATCTCTTATATTTCTGCCATATAATTGATAGTAAGAGTATTGTGTTTTTTCTAAATCCAGCCCTGTTCTCATTAGAATAGACTTCTGTGTTATTTAAGTGTTACATAAACAAATATTTTAAAAGTTTTTATCTCTGAAGGGGTTTTCATATTAATTTGATTGTTTATGTGCTGTTCTCCTGAGCTCATACTGAGCCTTTTTAATCAGGTTGTAATAGATTTACTCTAAGTTTAGCTCAGGGGACAAAACGCTTTGTTCTTGTTTTATTTCTTGGAAAGGAGTCCGAGTCCTGACTTATCCCAGTTAGAGCACACCATGTGAACAGAATTAACACGTGTTTTGTCTTAACACAGATTCAAGAGAACAATCAACGACTAATTGAAAAGGTTGAGTTAATCAGAGCAAGGTTTCTGAAGTTTTATGCTGAAAAAAACAATAACTCTTTCATTGTGTCTTGAAAAAGTCCAGATGAGTTCTATCCATTTCTAAAATCGATTGTGTCGTTCGCTGGGAGAAAACTAGTTTTTTTCCCCTTAAAACAAAAACACATCTCTTTGGCCTAGCATACACATAGACTTCCTAAATTCAAAACTAGGCCGCACAGTTTAGATCAGAACACGTCCCGTTAATCCTGATGTACTTGGTAAATCAAAAGAAGGATGGCGTCTACGCTAATATTAGTTTCTCTGTTTATCCCGAGGGTGGTGGACTTGCACCTGGACCCGTCCTGACTCATCCTTTAGTGCCGGCCTCATCGACACGACATCTCAATATCTCGTCTCCAAACCGGCGTGATTACTTCGACTTCCAAACAGATGGAATTGGACAAATACTCTTAATGTTTCGATCCGATTTGTTTTGTAATGCTACCCGAATCACACTGCCCCCGACTGAGCCTGGGTTCTCCCAAGGTTTTTTTCTCCATTCAATCACCTGATGGAGTTTTGGTTCCTGTTGCCTTGCTTTGTTGGGGACATTTAATATTCAACAATACTATTGATCTGTGTTGTATGTATTATTTTCATGTAATCACTGGGATACAATCTGTATTATAAAAAGCGCTATATAAGTAAAGGTGATTTGACTTGAATTTGAATACGGAGATTCAGCAAGTGGACCGGCGGAAACATGTCCGTGATTGGTCGAGTCCCCCGTCCTCCTCGAGCCCCTTTAATGGTTCCGCCGTTCGTGAAAGTGAATGAAGAGAAACGGACACTCCAGATTATCACACACACTTCACACGGACGAACAATAGCGGTCTGGAGATCGGCCAGGACTCAACAACACAATGGCTTCCTGTCGCGGCCGAGTGTGTGTGGGTGTGTGTAGTCTGAGCCGCGGCCGAGATCCCAGCGAGCGGAGCCGGGTGTGTGTATGTGGTTCTGCTGGATGACCCGTCTTCCTCCCGGACATTCATCAGCCGTCGCGCGCTGACAGACACTTCTCCCTCGAGTCTTTATTATAACAGCGTGATTTATTCTTCACACTCGGACCGTAAAAACAACGACTGACCCTCGGGGTGAAACTGAGGCTCCGTGACCTGAGGAAAAGTAATGGTCTGAACTTTTTTGGAAGTATTAATAAACACAGCTGGCTTTAACGGAGCAGGTGATTTAGGGGGAAATCGAGAAATAACTCGATTAAAACGTCGTATAAAGACTTTTATGTCACATAATTCACACTCACAACGATGTGTTTCAGACAGCAATGAACAAATTAAGATCAAAGTTTTTTATCTTTATTTATTGTCCAATTAAGGAGCTTATAGGCCATGCGAGGCAAATAATAAAATAATAATATAATATATAGCCTATAGGAATACATACATACATGTGTGTATATATATATATATATATATATATATATATATATATATATATATGAAGAGTTCAGATGCAAAAGCCTCTAAATGCCATTTGAAATTCTCTTCTAGAATAATCATTTTTATCAAGCTTGTATATTTAAGTTCAGTAATTTCACTTAAATGGCAATGAAGATTACCTATGAATTGCCATTTAAGTGAAATTACTAAATTTAAATATAAAGCTTGATAAAAATGATTATTCTAGAAGAGAATTTCAAATGGCATTTAGAGGCTTTTGCATCTGAACTCTTCATATATATATATATATATATATATATATACATACAGTTGGCCTATAGGTCAAAAAATGTGTTGTTGATGTAACAGGTCCATGTTTTATCAATATCAAGATTATTATTTTCGAATTTATGGCTACATGTAAAAGAAATCAACTAAGGTGATTATGCATTTGTAATATTAATATATAGGCCTAAATTAATTTTGTAACAAACGTAACGTCTGTGATTTCTTCTAAAGCATTGTGTGTAATTTAAGAGCAACTATAAACTTTTGCTTACAGGCTATTTGTCAAATAAGGCACCTGACACATGAGAGGCTCAACAGCTCTATGGATTTAAAGTAAATAAAAAATAATGTACAGAGTGTCCAAAGACAAATGTCCAGAATTAAATAATGTTAGTTGAATCAAAAGAGAACAGCAGTCGGAAATGCATTAATGATAATGATACAAAAAGCAATGCAATTTAAAAATGTATGACCATAATTCCCACTATCATGTTCCAGATTTTCCCCGATAAATCGAATTACAATGTCTCAATTTTCCACATTCAGGGACAACATTAAATAATATGTGATAAAGTTAAATTACAGTAAGAGCGTGATGTCTTCAGATTTTTCCTCGGGGACACACGGTTCTTGTTGACTGGAGTGTGTGAAATACACACAGTCATGATCAGAAGTTGTTCCAGACCTTTAGGAGACGGTGGGTTAAACAGGAGGTGTGTGTTTGGTGTGTATGTTATCTCCTGTCAGAGGTCATGGGTTAAGAATGGTCTGCGACAGGCATCGATGTGCTGTTCTCAACGCTCACACACACACACACACACACACACACACAGATGGCGTGATTAAACCAGCCATAGACTCAAACAGGAAGTGTTTCGTGAGATTTCCCGCTGCTTGTTGTTCTTCTGGATGTATTATACCCAACACTGACTCTGAGTCAGAGAACACACACTCAACCTGCACTTTAACCTTCTGATGTCAATCCATTCATCCATCCATCATCCTATCCATTCATCCATCCATCATCCTATCCATTCATCCATCAATCTATCCATTCATCCATCCACCAATCTATTCATTTATCCATCCACCAATCTATTCATTCATCCATCATCCTATCCATTCATCCATCAATCTATCCATTCATCCATCCATCATCCTATCTATTCATCCATCCATCAATCTATTTATTCATCCATCCACCAATCTATTCATTTATCCATCCACCAATCTATTCATCCATCCATCATCCTATCTATTCATCCATCCATCAATCTATTTATTTATCTATCCATCAATCTATTCATTCATCCATCCACCAATCTATTCATTCATCCACCACCCTATCTATTCATTCATTCATCCATCAATCTATTTATTCATCCATCCATCAATCTATTCATCCATCTATCCATCACCCTATCTGTTCATTCATCCATCATCAATCTATTCATCAATCTATTCAGTCATCCATCAGTCTATTCATTCATTCATCAATCTATTCATTCATTCATCTATCCATCCATCAATCTATTCATTCATCCATCCATCTATTCATTCATCCATCCACCAATCTATTCATGCATCCATCCATCAATCTATTCATTCATCCATCCATCAATCTATTCATTCATCCATCCACCAATCTATTCATTCATCCATCCATCAATCTATTCATTCATCCATCCACCAATCTATTCATTCATCCATCCATCAATCTATTCATTCATCCATCCATCAATCTATTCATTCATCCATCCACCAATCTATTCATTCATTCATCCATCCATCAATCTATTCATTCATCCATCCATCTATTCATTCATCCATCCATCAATCTATTCAGTCATCCATCAGTCTATTCATTCATTCATCAATCTATTCATTCATTCATCTATCCATCCATCAATCTATTCATTCATCCATCCATCTATTCATTCATCCATCCACCAATCTATTCATGCATCCATCCATCAATCTATTCATTCATCCATCCATCAATCTATTCATTCATCCATCCACCAATCTATTCATTCATCCATCCATCAATCTATTCATTCATCCATCCATCAATCTATTCATTCATCCATCCACCAATCTATTCATTCATCCATCCATCAATCTATTCATTCATCCATCCATCAATCTATTCATTCATCCATCCACCAATCTATTCATTCATTCATCCATCCATCAATCTATTCATTCATCCATCCATCAATCTATTCATTCATCCATCAATCTATTCATTCATCCATCCATCCATCAATCTATTCATTCATCCATCCACCAATCTATTCATTCATCCATCCATCCATCAATCTATTCATTCATCCATCCATCAATCTATTCATTCATCCATCCATCAATCTATTCATTCATCCATCCACCAATCTATTCATTTATCCATCCATCAATCTATTCATTCATCCATCCATCAATCTATTCATTCATCCATCCATCAATCTATTCATTCATCCATCCACCAATCTATTCATTTATCCATCCACCAATCTATTCATTCATCCATCCATCAATCTATTCATTCATCCATCCATCAATCTATTCATCCATCCACCAATCTATTCATTTATCCATCCACCAATCTATTCATTCATCCATCAATCTATTCATTCATCCATCCATCAATCTATTCATCCATCCATCAATCTATTCATTCATCCATCCATCAATCTATTCATTCATCCATCAATCTATTCATTCATTCATCTATCCATCAATCTATTCATTCATTTATCCATCCATCAATCTATTCATTCATTCGTCCATCTATCCATCCATTCATACATCCATCCATCAATCTATCCATTCATTCATCCATCTATCTATCTATCTATCTATCTATCTATCTATCTATCTATCTATCTATCTATCTATCTATCTATCTATCTATCTATCTATCTATCTATCTATCTATCTATCTATCTATCTATCTATCTATCTATCTATCTATCTATCTATCTATCTATCTATCTATCTATCTATCTATCTATCTATCTATCTATCTATCTATCTATCTATCTATCTATCTATCTATCTATCTATCTATCTATCTATCTATCTATCTATCTATCTATCTATCTATCTATCTATCTATCTATCTATCTATCTATCTATCTATCTATCTATCTATCTATCTATCTATCTATCTATCTATCTATCTATCTATCTATCTATCTATCTATCTATCTATCTATCTATCTATCTATCTATCTATCTATCTATCTATCTATCTATCTATCTATCTATCTATCTATCTATCTATCTATCTATCTATCTATCTATCTATCTATCTATCTATCTATCTATCTATCTATCTATCTATCTATCTATCTATCTATCTATCTATCTATCTATCTATCTATCTATCTATCTATCTATCTATCTATCTATCTATCTATCTATCTATCTATCTATCTATCTATCTATCTATCTATCTATCTATCTATCTATCTATCTATCTATCTATCTATCTATCTATCTATCTATCTATCTATCTATCTATCTATCTATCTATCTATCTATCTATCTATCTATCTATCTATCTATCTATCTATCTATCTATCTATCTATCTATCTATCTATCTATCTATCTATCTATCTATCTATCTATCTATCTATCTATCTATCTATCTATCTATCTATCTATCTATCTATCTATCTATCTATCTATCTATCTATCTATCTATCTATCTATCTATCTATCTATCTATCTATCTATCTATCTATCTATCTATCTATCTATCTATCTATCTATCTATCTATCTATCTATCTATCTATCTATCTATCTATCTATCTATCTATCTATCTATCTATCTATCTATCTATCTATCTATCTATCTATCTATCTATCTATCACATACTGTGTTTGATTGAAAGACCACAACAGTTCTCAGCCAATGGAACACACATACACACTCTCTCTCTCTCTCTCTCTCTCTCTCTCTCTCTCTCTCTCTCTCTCTCTCTCTCTCTCTCTCTCTCTCTCTCTCTCTCTCTCTCTCTCTATCTATCTATCTATCTATCTATCTCTCTCTCTCTCACACACACACACACAGGTCATGCCCACAAGGTCATGAGTGGAAATCAGGGCAGAGTTTAACTGAAGGCATGCATTGATAAGTATTCTGCTCTGTTTGACAACACGTGTGTATTAGTGACTATATAATATACAGTTTTAATCATATAGATATATCAGTGTTATTTTAGTATTATGTATCTACTATTATAGTCAATATATTCAATTAGTTTATTTATAAGTATTATAGCAATATTTTTATTTGCGTATTCTGTATAAACTTGTACCATCTAGCCCTGTTGTAATATATATTTTGTACATAAGTCCACACTACACCTTCATACTCAGTTGTCTATCAGCCTAGCGCACTAGTTTGTGTCAGTCAGTCAGGTGGTCACTGATGTCGATACCTTTAAATGCTAAGCCCCGCCCTCATATGCAAATGAAGCTCCATATCCGTCGGCGGAAGCGGCTCGCGTCTGTCAGAGAGATTTCGCCTGCTTTAAAGGCGCATTAAAATAGAACCGGACCCGAGCAGAGAAGCAACACCACAACAGCAGCAACAATAGCTCTGACAGAGACAAACACACACACAAACACAACCAGCAGCACGCGCTGACGTCAGGGTGAGTGTGTTTACGATGTTTCAGTGTTGCGTTCGCGCTGCGGCGCGTCTTATGATGATGATGATGATGATGATGATGATGGATGTCCTGTGCAGTGTGTTGTCATCCTTCACATCTGATCGTTCAAGCATCTGTAATTCTGTTTTATCCTTGGGTTGACATTAGCAGCGGTGTTTTGATTCCTAAATGTTCTGGATGCGGTAGTTTCCATCTCGAAGGGTTTGAATTAATGCAGAATAAATGTCTGACATTGATATTCAGTGTTGGTCGCTTCTTGACAGTGGCTGGTGCATGATCCATAAGTTGTGTATATGTGGACGAGTGCAGTTTTATAGCTCTTTTCCTCGCATCATGTTCAGTAGCTGATGTCTAAATGTGAACCTGCTGTAGCAGAGATGATGGATGTGTGTTACACAACTGCTGTCCCGTTCAGTGTCACTGCACCAAATCTCATGATGAGCTTCACAAACGAAATTTCAGTATGCAAAAAAAAAAAAAAAAATCCTCTCTATCCTTTAACAAACAATATAATCACAAAATATGATTCACCCATATGGTGTTCCAACCCTTTATTAAAATCATAGCTGTTTTCTGAATGCCAGAGCTTCTGTTTTCCATGCAACAAAATTAGACTGTGATATTTTACTTGTATTGTGTGTTTTTTGGGCTCTTTCACACGCAAAAAGTAAAATTTTTAAAGGGTTGTTGCCTTTCCATATGTTTATTTGAATATGCAAACCCAATATAAAAGCCAGTGTTCAAGTCAAACTAGGCTGAGCAGGCTTTATTTATTTGATGAGCTTTATGACAGCTCAGCGTCCTGTGACGTATTTACTCTTCTCAGAGAGTGCAGTGAGATCGCATGTAAATTGATCTTTGTCTGCATAATATTCAAAGCATGTGTGTGTGGTTTACTGCAGGTTAGTGTGTTTGGTTAACCCTTGTTTGGATGGTCTCTGCAGGTTCTTCTGTTCATCCAGACAGAAGACACGACACTGCTCTCGTATGCAATCGGACTGGATATTTATGAAGCTTTCAAGGCTTTTTGGTGAGTCACGCTGTTTTTTTATTCTCTCTGCTTGATTGTTAATATTTATGTCATGTTATCCAAGAAAAGTATGTCAAAAAATGTTTCTACTTTTGTATCCTTAGAGTGGGCAGTGAGTATATATATATATATATGTATATATATATGAAGAGTTCAGATGCAAAAGCCTCTAAATGCCATTTGAAATTTTCTTCTAAAATGACCATTTTTATCAAGCTTGTATATTTAAGTTCAGTAATTTCACTTAAATGGCAATGAAGATTACCTATTAATTGTCATGTAAGTGAAATTACTGAACTTAAATATACAAGCTTGATAAAAATGGTCATTTTAGAAGAAAATTTCAAATGGAATTTAGAGGCTTTTGCATCTGAACTCTTCATATATATATATATATATTTAAATAATTGCATTGTTTTATTATTTCTTATGCTTTTTGCCAAAGTAGATTGTGGTTAGGTTAAAACCTGTCTGTTGTGTAATTTGATCTGGTCACGTGAAACACATGATCGATGTGAAACAAGTAGTTTGTCATATACAGTTTCGAATTACTGAACTACAAACTTTAAAGGAGTTAGCTGAAATCTTAGCTGCAAAACTCCGTGAGGTTTGCATGGGGAGACGAGGTTAAACTTGTTTAAAATCTGCTTGTTTTGGGCTCTTTCAGGGTGCAGTTGAAGCTTATTTCTACAACATAATAAATCAGATATATAAAAAAAGTTTTTATCTCTCAATTTGGAGTTTTTCCTCAGAATTGTGAGTTTATATCGCAGTTGTAAACAGGATTCTGAGGGGGAAAAGTCAACATTGCGAGGTATAAACTGTATGTACAAGTATGTATTAGCTTTTTCTTTTTGCTTGTGTGTGAGAAACGCTTCCGTGGAGGTGTGTTTGTGAATGGTGCTGGTGAAGCGTGTCGGATGAGTTGTGCCTCGAGCTGAATCTGCTTCTGAACGCTTCACATCAGTCTAGATCAGCCGGCCCGCCGTTTGCATGAATCCAGAACACTTAAACACAGATTACTGAAACCTGTTGTCAAGTTGTTTTCTTTGCAAATTCGTATAAAGAGGACTTGATGTACATTTAAAAAAAAAAGTACAATAAAGGATCCAAAACTGAGTTTTTGCAGTGAAGCAGAACCACCATTTTGATTACCCAAAGAGGGAAATGTTCTTAAAAGAGATTTTTTTTTTTTTTCTAAAAATCTTAATGACCCCCTATAGACCTTATGTAGCCCCGCCCCTTTTCAGCACTGCGCTCGTTGTCTTTTGACTTCCGGTCTGTATTTTCAGGTATGAATGAACTGCTCGTAAAAAATATCCCGTCGACATCTGCATGATAAACATTACAATGCTCATGATAACTTTTGTTAACTCTACAATGAGTCAATCCACTTCACCAGCTAATTACTCCCCGACAGCGATGCCATAGAAATATACAGAGCGACCGCAAAAACGGAAGTTCAAAGACAATATTCTAAAGGTGACGGCGCCCACATTTCTCTGGTGAATAAGGTCTATAGAGTGACAAACGATTAATCGCGATTAATCGCATCCAAAATAAAAGTTTGTGTTTACGTAATATATGTGGATGCACTGTGTATAATTATTTTATATAAATACACACACATGCTTGTATATATTTAAGAAATATTTTCTGTGTATAGATTTATATATAATTAATATTATATATATTTATATATAAATCTTTTTTTTTTCTTAAATATACATGCATGTGTGTGTATTTATTTATTTATTTATTTTTTTTTTGCTAAATTGCCTGAAAAAAGGTCTGTGGTGAACAAAGCCTCTATATTTTCATGTTTTGATCTATGACGTAAAACACACCAGTAATAACCTACTTGTGTTTTTTTTTTTTTTTTTTACTTTATTGTGTCTGCTTGTGTTTTTTTAACTTTATATAGGCCTCAAAATGTATACATTTTGTATTAACTTGTAAAGATTATCTTGATAGACAGAACGCTTTGTTGAACACGGATCTTATTTTTTGCGATTTTCCAAAAGTCTATGGGGAAAATGCATAGCTTTTCCATCGTGGGATCCCATGCGCCGCTAACTTCCGAGTCGACCTACAAAGTGACGTCATCACTTCGGCACGCCAAAGTCAATTATTATATCGCTTTAAACTCATCTTTGATCACCAAAATTAAAAAACAGATTGAATGTAACTCGACACCGTTGCCTCATTCTATGAGCCCCGCCTCCACTCACTCACTCAGAGATCCACTGGTTAACGATCACACGTTGATCTGATTGGTTGCAAGGTCGTTTGTGACGTCAGAAACACCAGCGATTTCACACCGTGTGTTTGAGACTGTCTTTGGTTCACTGAAAATACTCAGCAATGTCCACTTATGAATTTACACACGGTTAAGCGTCTTAAAACACCTCATAGACATATAAACAACATTTAAAAAGCTTAATTTTCACCACAGGGGAAATTTAAGAACCTTTATTTTTAAGTTTGTGCATATTTGTGTGTCTACTGTTACACTATTTGTGTTGTCTGCCCTGTCATGTGTTATTAAAGGTTTCTGCATGAACAAAACACACACACATCAACATATATACTGATTAATCTTTACGAGTAGGTGATGACTGTTTGACATGGACACACACACACAGCTCATCATGTGTGTAACTGGTGATGTCGTTTGTCTGAGGACAGAGTAACATTGTGACGAGAGTAATATATATTTTGTTACATTTGGGATACAAGAAAGCATTGTAACAGCAAATGAATGTGCACTAGGCATGAAGGCACGGGAGGGAGGTCGTGTTACATTGCACAACTTTTTATTTAAAAACGCGATTTTATGAATAATGCTTTGTGTTTTAGCCGAGTTGACCAATCAGAACCGAGTATCTTTTTTATAATGCGCTGTTCTTTCGAATGTGCCTTCGTGAGCTTGTATTTCTCTAGGCCGCTTGGCGTGCGAATCATGGATTGAGTGGAGCTCATGAATGCAGTGTGTTCTTCTCGCTCAACACAAGGACAGGAGCGCAGGGCTTCGGTGACTGTTGCATAAGATCTTTATTTAGTAAAAGCCTCTGAACACTGAGGACCTCTCAGTCCAGGACCGGTGTTGTGCTCTGCGGTTTCATCCTCACAAGCTCGAGTGGGACTTAAAGCGTGATAAACGAACACATGCCTTTTGTCTCCACATCTTTTTTTTTTCTATTCTGATTGATGTATTTAATAACGAATGGTTATTATCAGGGCATGACATCGACACTGGGCATTAAGCGGTTATAGTCTTTTAAAAATGCATCTGAAATAATAGTGCAATGTCAAAAATGTAGATTTTTCTTTTTTTATGCATATTTCTAAACTCTTCCAATACTCATTTTCCCCAGAATAGATAGACGATACCAGCGTTTCTCTCTGTGACACTCAAACCCGCCTCCACTCACTCACTCGTTTCATTTGCTGTGGGTGAATATTGGTACAGGGCTTGAATGTCATCATGGGATTGAGCTCAATGCGCTTGATATTGCTCATTCCTGCAGATTTTGAGCTCAAACACCTAAATTGTGCGTGCATAAAGCTGACTTTCAGTGCTAAATTCAGTTATTAGTCGCTGCTTATTGCGCTTAAACAGTCAAAATAATGTCAAAATGGCGAGTGTTCACATAAACACAGTCAGTTATGTTTAAAGTAAACATAAACTGTTGAGAAACGCATGTGTAACAGTGTATTGGATCCGTGCGTCAGGTCTTAAAGTGACAGCAGCCTAATAATGAGATGAAATTAAAAATATTTATATGGCAGTTTTTCCCCATAGTTGTGGCCAGTGAAACTGCTGAGTGCTGAGTAACTTTGGAAAACCACAAGCCACAGTGTCTGGTGATCAAAAAAGTTAATTTCATGCACAAGATGCATTTATTAAAGGAGTAGTTGACTTTAAAAAAAAACTTTTGCTGATAATTTACTCACCCCCATGTCATCCAAGATGTCCATGTCTTTCTTTCTTCAGTCGAAAAGAAATTAAGGTTTTTGATGAAAACATTCCAGGATTTTTCTCCATATAATGGACTTCAATGGGGTCCAAACTGTTCAAGGTTCAAAAGACGCTTTCAGTGCAAACTACAAACTGTTCAAAGGGCTTTAAACGATTCCAGACGATGAATAAGGGTCTTATCAAGCGAAATGATCGCTCATTTAATAAATAAATAACAAAGTTTAAGTTTTATAAGCTCAAATGCTCGCCTTGCTCTGTTCTGTGATGCGCGTTCGTGACTCTCCTGTTCGAACTCGTTTATCAAAATGATTTAATCTTTTCCAGAGTCAATTTGTTCATTTGTTCGTTTCGCTTGATAAGACCCTTATTCATCGTCTGGAGTCGTTTAAAGCCCTTTGAATAGTTTGTAGTTTGCACTGAAACTGTCTTTTGGACCTTGAACCGTTTGGACCCCATTGAAGTCCATTATATGGAGAAAATCCTGGAATGTTTTCATCAAAAACCTTAATTTCTTTTCGACTGAAGAAAGAAAGACATGGACATCTTGGATGACATGGGGGAGAGTAAATTATCAGCAAAAGTTTTTTAAAAGTGAACTACACCTTTAAGAATGAATGGTTCTGGGTCATATATAGGGCATTCAAGAAAGTCTCTGTTTATTCTGGTTTCTTGGTATGTCTTGCAATTCATTTTTGACGTGTGCTTGTCATAAGGTGATAATAGAGAAGACGATCACAGATCACAGGCTGAGTTATAGTGCGAGACAGCAGGAACGATCGTGCGAAACACCTTCCTTCGTCCTTCACCCTCCTCCTCCTCAGAGTTCATCAGCTTAAACGTCAGATAAAGACACCAGAGAAGAGCTCAGACTCGCAGAGCTTGTATCATAACTCTTCCCATGTTTCTGATGTACGGTTCAGTGCTCTGGACTCTCCCACATTATTCATCATGTGCTTTGTTTGCAGAGCTTATTGTTTTATTTGCAACGATGTTGTACCGGTGATTGTCAAAACTTGTT